CTATCTCTATTTTATCTAAGCGGGCTCCTATTATAGCTCTACTCGAAGTTGAGGATTTTGGGATAGGTTGTCAACCATCGCTGCCCACCTTTTTATAGCCTAAACAAACTTGCTCATCAAGTATATTTCTATGGTTATAAATACGCCACATATTAACCTTGGATAAGGTGATGATCTAGTGGTCACAGAGTTACCACATATTAGGCTTGGTTAAGGTGATGATCTTGTCGCCACAATTTTACCACACTTTGCACTCTAGTAGCTTCTAGTGATTTAATGAAGTTTGTTAAGCAAGTTTGGAAAAATATTTTAAGGGAAAAATAAAATTTTTCGAGTAGGTGTCATTTTGGTTATTAAGTTTCAAAATAAACATTTTTGGTCTCTAAAGTTTGAAAATTGATTCTAAATGGTCCCTAAGTATTCGTAACTGTTAGTTGATTTAACGAAAAAATGACCGTGATAATTAACAGGTGCCTGGACATTTCTAATTTTTTTAAAATGATTTTTGTGAAAAAATATTAACTTTTATATAATTTTGTTATCTGAGGTGGTATTTTGTATTTATTTTATTCTTCTTTTGGTCTCTCCATCTTTGCTACCATCACTGTTGCCATTGTTGTCGCCGCTGTTGTTGTCCACGAGAGGGAGGGAGCTCCTCCCTCTCTCCGGTGGACGACGACAATAGATGATGATGGTCGAGGACAACGACGATAGGAGTGGTCGAAGACAACAATGATAGAAGTGGTCGACAACGATGGCGGTGGATGGTAGCAAGAAGATGAAGAGAGAAGGAATAAAAAATAACAAATTTGGTTAAAAATTAATATTTTTTTACAACTCTTTAGAAAAAAAACAAGTTAAAAAAGTTTAGTTACCTGTTAATTACCACGTCATTTTTCGGTTAAGTCAATTAACTATTGAGTAATGTTTATGAACCCTTCAAAATAAATTTTCAAATTTTAGGGACAAAAATTTACTTTGAAACTACCAAATTGACGCTACTCAAAATTTGAGGGACAAAAAATGTTCATTTGCAAGATATTATTTATTTTGATCTTTTCGAAAAAATCAATGATTTCTTATTCTTGTAATTCTTTTTTTTTTTACTAAAAATAAGGTAGAAAATTTGAACTTTCCAGTTAAAAACAAAAACAATAGTAGGGATATTTATAGTAAAAAAATAGAAGATTTTCAACTCGTGCAATTTAACTTCTATGGGGATTTAATTCATATGAACTTAAATTAATTCGAACAAATTTATGATCTTAACTCATAGTTTGGATTTCTTTCAAAAAAAAAAAAGAAAAAAAAACTCTGGATTTGATTGGATTAGATTTTCCCAATATTTTTTGAAAGGTTAAATTACTAATTTTGTTATCTATCTAGTTTCTATAGTTAAAATTTTTAATTTACACTAATAACATCTGTAAACTAATCCAACTAATTCTATTTAGATTTGATTAACTTTTATTTGAAGGTTAAGTTACTGAACTTGATTCTTTTAATTGTTTATTTTAATTTCTTTTTAGAAAAATATAAACTTCCATATTTTCAATTTAGTTTTTATTGTGATTTGGATAAATCATATAAATATTTTTAACCCATCTATTTTTCTTTTTTCACTTTTAATCTTGAACCCTAAAATAATTCAACTATCACAATAGATTGAAATAAGAGCACCAACTCTAGGAAAAAGTAGACAACCTGTGTTGCTCTACTAACTCATAACTAAATTAAAATTTATGGTCCATTCAAAAACCATCTTTCTTACTTTATTTACTGGTTCTCGTTTTTTTAGTTGCTCCTTTCTCGTTTCTCATTCTTAAAAAAACGTTGAACAACCAAATTACTAATTTTGTTTTTTATTTTCGTTTCAAGTTTTTTCCAAAACATTAAAAAAGATAGTTATCAAAAGTACTTATGTTCACATCTATTAAAAAAATAGTAAAAGAGAAATATAAAACAAAAAAATAGAAACGTTACTAGAGCCCTAAATTAAATTAAAAATTTTACCATTATAGAGATCAAATTAAAATTAATTCATAGGAGTAATAAATTAGTAATTTTACCTATTTAAGATCCATTACTTTTTTTTTCCCTTGGTAATTTCGTATTTGGAAAGCAATGTGAAGTGAACAAAGTTTCTTTAAATACGGCCGCACATAAAAAAATAATAAAAATAATAACCAATCTGTCGAGAATTTATTCTCTCTCCTCACGTCTCCATCTGAATAATATCAATGTACGGCTGGGATTGTTCCACGTCGACAGGGGCAGATTGGGAATTTTGTGCTCCCTCCTTTTCTAATCAAAATTTTCATTTTTTTCTTTTCGCAAAAAAAGAAAAAAAAATATTTGTTGGAATCAGATATCAGATTTAACTCGCATTTAAAATGGTAGGGCTTCTTTTTTCTTTCAATTTTCAAGTTTTTTTTGGTTCCTAAAGCTCTTATTTACGTTTTTTTTTGTTGCCTTTTTTACTTTTGAATTATCATTTTATTTTGATTTTTTTAAAAGCATTTTATTTTGATTAAATGACAAGATTTGTGTATTAAATAGGTATTAATTATCGAAAATCTTTTATTTTTAGGTTAAGAACCTAACGGTACGATCCTGAGTGGCATACAGTACACTTTATATTATACTATTTTGTAGATTTGATTTAACAATAAACGAATTTTCAATTTTAGATATTTAATGTGCACAAGCATTATTGATTTCATTGAATGATAAACAAACATTTTAATTTTAGATATTTTATATGCACAAACATTACTAATGACTGTCTACAAAAATAAATTGAAAAGGTATAATTGCATATCTTTAATTTTCGGAAAAAAAATTTCTCTCTAAAAACTTAAAAAGATAAATTTTTAAATAGAGAAATTAATTACAAAATGGGGACAATATAATGTAAAAGGAAAGAGCAAATGAAGACACACAAATTATTCTCTATGACATGGTCGTATACAATATAGATAAATATAATTTTATTTAAATTAATATTCGTGTGAAGCAAACCTTTTTAAAATTAAAAATATAAAAGTAATGTTACGAACATGTTATATGCAACTATGTTAATGTTGAAAAAGAAAAACTTTATTAATATAGGATCAACGATATGAATGATGTTGGAAAATTCTTTTTCAACATGATTAAATTTAAAATTGTTATTAATTTGAAACATGTCTCTAATGTAAATCTATTTCATTTTATAATAAAAAAATTTAAAATACAATTTATTTAATCTTGAGATTATAATTCCTTAAAACATAAAAATTGATGTTTAGTTACTTAGTCTACAAACAAGAATCTAATGCTTAAAAGATTATTAATCTTCCCAAAAAAAAAAATTGTTGACAGGTGGCCATAATAAAATTATATATTTTCATTATTAGGTTTGAAAAAAAAATTGAGTTGAATTTAAAAAATCTTTTAACTTTCAATCAAGTAATTAAAATATTTTGTTTATGTATAAAAATAATGGTGATAAAAGTTCATGATGGACAATTATTTTTTGGAAAAAAAGCTTACCCTTGAAATTGGAAGGTTAATCGATTTTTAGTAAAGCATTTAGTTTCATCCAATTGAATATTATACACGAATATGTATTGCAATTTTTTAGAGAGAAAAAAATCAGTTTTTATCCAGACAAGTTGTATCAATTTCTACCGTAAATTTTAAAGTTCATCAAATTATTGAACTATAAATGTAGATGAATGTTGCTATTTCTACCATTTTATTCAATTTTAGCCCATTAAAGCACTGATTAAAAAAAAATCTAAAAAAAAGCTCATTAGTTTAATGAATCAAGTTGCACAAAATTATTGATTAAGGTAAAAAATTGATGAGTAAATAACTCTATAGAAACTTACCAAATTTAAAAATAAAAATGATTCAAATGTTATTTATGAATTTCATACCAAATAGATATTTTACCAGTCATCTTACACATGAAAATGCTTATTTCAACAAAATTTCAAACTAAAGTCCATAAGAGGGTGAAAACTGTAACATCTTTTAAAATTCAAGGCGAAATATTATAATATTTATCTAAATTTAAAGTACAATTTGGTGAATTTAATCAATAATCCAGCTAGTGCTAATTAATCTATACTCTATATATAAATGGGGCAAAATAAATAAATATATATATATATATATATATATATATATATATATATATATATAGAGGAAAAAAAATCCTTCTCTCAATTTTCCCTCTAATTTAAATAATTTTCTTCGGATGACAATTTTGTCATTAAGCTCTCTCCCCAAATCCGTTCAAATTCCACTCATTCTTTCTCTCCCTCCCCACGTTTCTTTTTCTCCACATCCTCTCAAATTTCACCTCTCCCCACATCTCTCTCTCAAAAATCTCAAATTCCACACTCCCTCCCTCGTCTAACTCACTCATCTTAATTTTCAAATATTTGATCTCAATCTTTATAAATTATATTTTTCTCAAAGTAATTTTTTTCTCCCTAAAAAAACTTCATTTATCTCTCTTAATAATTTCATTATTTTTCTTTTGGGTCTCTCTTTTTTCCTCCGTCCATCCAAATTCTTTACTCAAATTATCATTTTATTTAGATTATTATTATTTTTAGTACAATATGTAGAAATTAAGATCGAACTCAAAACTTATTAATTAGAGATAGATATCAATTATAGCTGAATTGATCAAAACATAGATTAAACTTGTAGCTTACCTGTCAAAAATTGATTTTGCTATTTCTTTTGCTTTATTTTTTACTTAAAAGAAAATAAGATTATTTGACTAGAAAATGTCTGCCCGACTGGTTTTTTGATGTGATTTTCGCGGAAATATCGTGGGCGCAACCTCTACGGAAGGGGATGAGGTGGCAGAATCAGGACAAATTATTCTCTGCGCCGTCCTTAAATCTGGGCCGTCAAAAATGGGAAAAAGGGAAAAAAGAAAAAATGGAAAAAAGAAAAGGCACGAGTGGGAAAATTACACACGAGTACACCGTAGCGCAGCCCGGACATGTTCTCCGTCCAAAACCGGAATGGATAATCGGCGATAGGTCCGAACTTTGTAATTGGAGGGGATTGGTTCTGGTTGGGGTTTCGGTCAAAAAGAAACACTAGCGCTAGAGGACAGCGTCGAGTGGGAAGTCGGCGTGGGCTACCGGAGCCTCCTGTTCATCAATTTACCGCTTTCAATTCCTTCTTCCAGTTCGCCGAAATCCAATTTCCCTCCAGGTAATTAATTCCACGCCATCTGTTGAATTGGGGGCCTGTTCTGTTGATCAATTCTGCTTGATTTTGTTTGGGAATCTCATTTTTTCCCTTTTTGTTTTCTTATTTGTCGCTGTTTTGATGAGATCAATTGCAGTTTGAGGACCATGCGTCGGTGGTGTGTGTTGGGTTGGTGTTAAAATCTTATTTTTGCCACACCATCGTTAGGGATTTTGCGGTTTACTTGGCAGGGATGGACTTGGTTGCTAGTTGCAAGGTACTTGTTAATGTTTTTTAGTTCAATTTGTGTTGTTTCAATGCATGTTGTAGTCTTCGTGGTGGCTTGTTTTTGTGAATTTGGGGTTACTCATTTGCCTTTTCACTTGCTCCAGGATTTTGTTGATAGAAGGTTAATGTGGATTTTGACTTGCGAAATGCCGTGTGGTTTTGTTCATATGGGGGTTTGCTCCCCTAGTTTAGTTTCTCTCTGGAAATAATATACTTCAGCTTTGGTTCTTTCTTCTCTGTTTGCTTTGATTGATATCAGGTTATCACAAGTTTAACTTGAAGTTTGTCTGTTACATTTTTTGGAATCCACTCTCGATGTTAAATGCGATAGTCGAACACTGTTAAAATCCCCTTGAATTCGTTCAAGTAGCCAGCCTTTTGAGTGGTCATGTCTTTCAAGCTCCCTGGATCCAACTTTTATAGATTACTGTCGAACTAGTTCTTGACTATCAAATATAAATTTCAAACTATAAAATATTGTTCATTAGATGATATCCTTAAGTTTCGAACTAAGAAATAGCAGAAAGGTAGCCGAAATTTGTTTAAAAAGGAAAAAAACAAAATGTAGCAGAATTTTGACCAATAGAGTATTTACCAATGATTTTCTGTAGTTTGATTAAGTAGTTGTAGTACCATATCATCAAATTATTTAACTAATTTGTTTACATCATCGTGTCGGGTCGTTTTATGTTTCTATGCAGTGTAGGATTGCAAAATTGAGAAGAAAAGAAGTATAGTTTTCAACTTAAACAGAATACAGCTCATCCGGAATGACTGTTTGATCATGTATAGCATAAGTATCAAATATGTGTTACAACAAATCTCTAAAAGTGGATGAAGTCTTTCCATGCTGTCTCATTGTTTCTTTTTTTTTGAGAAGCGATCCTTAGATTGATTATCACATATTATTTAAGAAGAGGATGCTGGTATTCATACTTGTCTATCATGAAATTTGATTTTTTCTGTAGCATTGCCTCTGATATGTTTTATAAATGCATTTCTATTCAGGAAATGAATTAGAGTTCCTTCTGTTTGTCTTGTATGTTAACTATGATGTATTTTATGCTTTAATTAGTTTCTTGTTAGTGCAATATACTGTAACATTTAGTATTTCAGTCTAAGAAGATGAATTGTACTCTCTTGCTGTAATTAATAGATTGATTGTTCCTTCTATTTTTATGTAGTCTTAGTTGTCCAAAACTTTCATTCATTGTTTTAGTTTCCTGTTGGTTTATCTTCTTATTGAATTCAAAACTTTATTATTCGTCATTTTAGAAACTCCATGGAATTGATGTTAATAATTGATTGGGATTCTAGTCGTCAAGTCATAAATGGTGGTTAGACAGAGTATATCTGTTTCTTGCCTCGCTGCTGATTTTAGTAGATGATTCTGACTTTTATGGAGAAATTTCAATGCTACTGATATGACTTTTGCTTGTGATTTTGGATTTTCACTTATAGGATAAGTTGGCTTATTTTCGAATAAAAGAGCTCAAGGATATTCTCACTCAACTAGGTCTTTCAAAGCAAGGAAAGAAGCAGGTGAATCGTCTGAATGTTGACTTTTATTTTCTAATTATTGTTTTCTGATAAGAAACTCTCTTGTTGAGAGAAATGATAGTACAAAAAGGAAAAGTCAAAGAGGGCCAAGACCAATACAAGGGGCCAAAAGACAAAAAGCAAGCTGTTACAAGAAAGGGCCCTAATTGTTGTTTTCAGCATCATTCTTGAACTTGTTTGATTCAAATCCTGCAGTGGTGTATTTAGATAATAGTACTTTCATTTAAGAACTTCTGATGATGGTTTTCTTTTTGTCTTTTATACTCCTTGTTCTGTGTGCTACATGAACATATTTCATTTTTGCTGGAGTCTAGGGGCCACTTAACAAAAAAAATAATAGTATATAATGTTATGTGAGGTGCATGATAGGAAAATGCAAATGAAATTTTTAGATATTATGGAATGAGCCTAGGAAGAACTTTTTTCAGACTATCATTAGGCATACCAACCAGATAGTGAGCTCGTTTAGGTTGCCACTTGGAATCAGAAAGGAGAAGCCTTTTGGCAAGTAGGGGCTGTGTATTCTTAGAGGGCTTTTGTATTATGGGATCAAGGGGTCCTTTAGCGAATCTCTGTTATTCCCGACCTCGGAGGCTGGATTAAAATTTCATAATCTTCCTTTGAACTGGTGGAATTTGGAGGTTGTGCAATCCATATGGGGATTCATGTGAGGGTTTCGTTCGTTGTGCCATAAACTCTTGAATTGAACTGAGTGTATGGAAGCTATTATGAAAGTCCAAAAAAACTATTTTGGGTTCGTGGCAGCAAAAATTAACTTGTTCATCTTGGATTCCCTTTATTTTGCAGTCCAAGTCATGTTCTTTGATGAATTTATACTCCTAATGAACAGCAAAGCTGAAATTCACGAATGCTTCATCAAGAAAGGTGTAATTATGTACTTTGAGGACAATGAATCCCTTTTGCCTGAAAAGTAATCAAGGATGTAGTTGTAGGCCATAGACCAGTTGTTCAACTTTCTATGCTACAGTGTGGGAGGGAAGATAGAAAAGTGGACGATGAGAAATCACCAAATCTATAATCTAAAATATAAGCATTATCTACCAAGCACAAAGTTTCATGAAGATAATTTCATTCTAATATTATTCAAAAAACATTTTTACGATTATTTATCTATATTTTAAATATAACATCATTCTTCTTTCATTGGTTTATCATAGTGTTGCATCTTTTTCATACTTCAAAAATAGATTTGTTATGAACACTCTACTTTCTGTATATCTAATCTCTCCTTTATTTCTTTTATTAAAAGAACTGAAAGTTGTTGGACCTTTATTCTGTTGGTTGGTGCTGTTCTTGTGGTGTTATTGTTGCTTTGTGGGAGAAGCATCTTTTTTGAGTTTGGTGGTGTTCCTTGAGGAGTTTTCTTTGTTGTTGAAGATTACTTTGGAGGACAATTCTTCCACGGGTTTTGGATGTTAGTGGCTCAATTTCTACTTTTGGGAGAAGGGAGTTGTGGCAAGAGCTGTATGACTTATTTGGCATTTGTAACAGTTATCATTGTATTGGTGGGGACTTAAACGTACTTAGATGGGCTTATGAGAAGCCTATTTGTATCGTCGATGTTTTCTTATCCAATGGCTAGGGGGTTTTTATACGAGAAGTGGTGTCCAAGAGGTGCTTAAAAGTTCTTTTTGTTAAATTTTCACTATTAAGCAGCTTTAGATGTGGTTGATTGAAGTCCTTGGGATTGAATTTTTAGTTGATTTCTATTCTAAGCTCAAAGGTTTTATGGTCTGTTTTGATCTTTAATGGTCTTATGGTGGGTGGTTTTAGATACTTTTGAATCGTTGGCTATTAGTTGGGTTTTTTCTTTGTAAGTTGTAGTAACTGTCGTTGTAATTTTTCATTTTATCAATGAAAAATTGTGTTTTTTTTAAATTATTTTTTTTGAACAAGAAAAAAAACTTCTCATTGATAATATGAAAAGGAAGAAAATGTTGAAGGAAGCTAGTACAAAAATTATGAAAAACTTTTACAATCTTGTCCTAGAGCTCTCTCAATGATATTACCCTGTCAAATGGAGGTCTGATATGCTCAACTCAATTGGTCTAGACATTATTTACATTCCTAAAGATCAGATGTTCGAGTCCCCCAACCCCCTATTGAACTAAAATAATGGAGGTCCAATACGAGAGAGCAACCTGTTTCTATTTTCATTGATGGTTTTCTTATATCCAATGCTTGGTTCACCAAATATGCTCGTACTGGGACATCAGGAAGGAAAGAAATACTTTGGGTCACCTCACATTTTTTCTTGGCCACTGCCATTCAAAAATGAAAATTTCTTGCTTGATAATTATGGTCTTCACACTTTCATTAAGAATTGGGGGAAGGTTTGTGAGGTTTAGGTTTACAAGCCAATGGGAAACTGAAATTCCTTTTGTAACTCCTTGGCTTTAGGAAGAATTTGATATCCCTCCTCTCTTTTGCACACTGACTTTTCTTACTGGAAATATTTCTTGCCAAAGAGGAAAGGCTAGAAAAGTTCAATCAAAATTTGATTCAATGCTTATCAAGTTGAGTTGCGAATTGATATCTATTCTTTCTTATTCCTTCTTATGAATTACAAGTTGCAATATAAGATGTGTTTTTACCTGATTTTCTGAGTTATTTCTGTAGGACCTTGTTGAGCGGATACTAGCGATTCTTTCTGATGAACAAGGTAAGATTTTGAATGTTAAATGTTAATAATATTCTTCTTCATAACCTTATTTAGGCTGTACAATTGATAACTATAAGGTTCCCTTTATCCATGATGAAATTTTAATACATTGGACATTTGGACTTATGTTTCATAATTCTTTTGTTGGAATCTGCTAAAGCTCTTAAATATATGCGATGCTCTTTTGTTGATTGCTTCATATTGAATTTCTTGGTTGAGGGACTCGGTCTAAGGGAAGACCCAGTTGGTTGGTAAGGTTTGGTATATAAGTGTCTAGCTCCCGATGTTGATTCTTTTGGTCAACTTAAACAAAAAATTCTTTGGTGTCTTCTGGTATTTGGCACTGAGGTTGTTGGTTGGTTTAATAACCCCATCATTTTACGTCCTTAAACATAAGTTTTAATTATCTTATAGCCTCGATAAGACTTGTCTGTTTTGTGTAATGGATATCTGTTGCAATTCTTTGTTTCAGTTTCAAAAATGTGGGCAAAGAAAAGTGCTGTTGGAAAGGATCAGGTGGCTAAACTAGTTGATGACACGTATAGGTTTGTCTTCTGGTGTTATATTTTTTTTCAAGGAGTTGGTTCTTGTTGACAAATTTTCCTCTTTTCATTCAATAATGATTCACACATCTCTATTTATTAAGTATATCATATATTGTAGTGTTTCTTGTAATCATTTCAATGAGTGCTCTCTCTTTTTCTCATTCTTTTATACCTCATGCTTATTGTCATCTTTTCTTTGTTTTTATCTTCTTACGTGGATTATTTTCTTATGCAGAAAGATGCAGGTTTCTGGGGCCACGGATTTAGCTTCTAAGGGTCAAGGTGCCTCAGATAGTAGTAACGTTCAGGTTAAAGGGGAAACAGATGATTCTTTGCAATTAGATACAAAGGTTCGGTGTCTTTGTGGAAATGCTTTACAAACAGAATCAATGATTAAGGTATAACTAGAACTATTCCTTTTATACATTTTTCTTCCTTTCATGGTTCCATCTGCCTTGAAGCATCGGTTCCCTTTGTTTACCAGCCCTTTTATTTTTGGCAGTGTGAGGATCCACGATGTCATGTGTGGCAGCACATTAGCTGTGTTGTCATTCCTGAGAAACCCACGGAAGCCAATCCACCATTACCTGACCCCTTCTTTTGTGAGATCTGTCGACTCACTCGTGCTGACCCGTATGTATCTACCTTTGTTTTCCATTTAGTCTATAGGCTTCTTATTTATGGAATTAGGGGGTGCTAATGCAAGTTTGAATGTGTTTTATAATCAGTCGCAATAATTATTTTCTCATTTATTTTGTCCTTCCCATGTGGACGTTTTTATGGGTCTGTGCACTTGAGGGCAGTGAAGTATAGTATTTGCTTGAAAGCATCGTCGCTCATGGTCTGGTTCATTTGGGCTTATTTGGTGCCTCCCTAGTCCCTACTTAGAGAAAAAAAAGTATTACTAGCTTGTGTTTTACAAACAAACTGGCTGTACTGAAAGCAGATTAATGTATTGATAAAATATTAAAATACTGTCACTGATGAAGGACCGAGTATACATAAACAGCCTAATTAAGATTTAATCAGTTTACAGTAACCTTTATATTAACTGAAAGCAATTATAAAAAAAGTTGAAGAAGTCTAGAGCAAATGCCAAGTAGGACCTGTGGCTTAATTGTGCACGCAGGAAATTTTGTTGACATATCTTATTCTACCGACTATGTCTAAGAAAGAGGTTCACAACCCCTTGCAGCTTTTGTTGATATATTATATTATTCACTTTTATATATCAAGTTAGTGGCTGAAAAGAGATAATAGCTTTTACACATCCACCTTAAGTATCGTCCCTTTTTTTGGAATGATACGAAAAATATGTATTTGCTCACAACACAAAATCTTTCTTTTGATGAATTTGATAATCTTTTGAATTATCTTAATTAACAAATAAATTTCAAGTTCTTTGGATGGGTATTCTTTTGATTTTAGTTTGATGCACGTCAACTTGAATTAAGATTTTGTTGCCCAGATTGATTCATTCAATTTTCTATGAGCAATTAATTAACTAATGTTGTTTTGTTTACTCCTTTAAAGGTGTATTTTCTAACATTTTTTTAATACAGTTTTTGGGTTTCAGTTGCACATCCTCTGTTACCCGTAAAGCTGATGACTACCTCCACAAACATTCCAACAGATGGGTGAGTTCAAATTTATTGACTTCCGATTCAATATTTTCTGTATCATCCACAAAAACCCTGTATGAATACAATTTTTAGCTTTAAAAGTGTAAATGATAATGAATTTCTGTTGGTGCTTCTTAGTGTTGACTTAGTAATTATTCAATATCTGATATTTGGAGCTCTTTCTTTTAACTTCACTTAGCCATGGTTTGAGGCTATCCTCTCCATTTTTGTATATTTTTGAAAAGAAAGTATGGACGATTATATTCACATTTTAAGAGTTAGAAGCCATTTAAACGGATGGATGAAGAATCAATTCTGAAAATGATTATCTCTATTACTGAAACGAGCAATTTCTGATCTGCACGTGAACTAGGTGCTTTCTCTTTTTTGTTTAATCCATCTGATCCCTGATGGAAGCAGTTTTCTTGGCAATAAATCGGATACCTGGTTTATCTATAAGATTTTTGTAGTACATGTGAGACCTCCCATTGTAAATACCTATGTAAGGAGGGGTAGAGAGGGAAATTCACCCCCAAATAACAGTTAGGAAAGGGGCTGTACGGGTAGGTTGGTTATAAGATAGAGGTTTAGCTTGTTTTGGATATATTTTGTCATTCTGTAAGTCTTTGACTTAGGAAGGAGAGCTCCAGCCCTCTCGAACGGCTGGGAAACTCTGGATTGCCTCAGGGCTGTAAGTTTGTTTTGTGTTGAATGTTTTTGAATATCATATTGTAAGGAGATACCTTACATAACCATTCTTGTTTTATGATTTAGGCGAACTGAAAAGTGAGTTTACTATCTCTTTTAGCTTTGAGAGGATACGTATGATTTATCCTTCTATATTTCTTCTACTTTAAATTGTTAATAGAATGTTTCCTTTTTGGGAAAATGAAATACTTGACTTGTAAGTTCTCTTTGGTCATATATTTGCATGGCCAGGTAACCTTAACTTACAAGACAGTGGTAGTTTTAGGCAGTTCTTGAAATACTAGCAGGGAGGGGATCTATTTGTCTATGATGCTTCTTTTGACTGCTTATTCCAAACACTTCCATATTTGCATGGCCTGTAATTGTTTTTTTTGGTTGTCGGCTCCTTTGTGTTAGGGTTTTCTCCTCTCTTTTTTACTTTCATTTATGTTAATGAAATCTGGCTTTTGATCCTCCAAAAAGGAAGTTCCCCCTTCCTATCTGTATTCCTTCCAATTTGTACAAGTTTCTTCCGACCCCTTTAGTTTTGGACTGTATATATTATTGACAGTATTAAGGTAGAGAGAACTGGTGATGACGTCGCTCTCTTGGAATTAAGGTAGAGAGAACTACCTTTAGGAGTATTACAAGAAAGCATACCAACTAAAACTAATTGCTAAAATATAGAGAAAGAGCACACAAAGAAGCTGCTTCTGATCTCCGGAGATATACTCTTGACTGCTGATATTAGTAAATATTGTCTAAACTATTGTTTGTTTAGGATCGCTTTCAGTTCTTAGAGGTATGACCCACCCATGTATGTGGTACACCGGCATTTATATATGAGTTTTAATATTGCAGTCTTCCTCACATTCCATATCATATACAAAATGATTTTCTGTATTTTTCATGATGGGCCTTCTTGCACAAATTTGTAGTACGAATCCAATGCAGAGTGTGGAGAGAACATTTCAACTCACAAGAGCAGATAAGGACTTGCTTTCTAAACAGGAATACGATGTTCAGGTTGGTGCATCGTATGGTGATTCTGTCCCTGTAAACTCATAGATGTCTTGAACTAAGGATGTCTTTGTTATGCTAGGCCTGGTGTATGCTTTTGAATGATAAGGTTCCATTCAGGATGCAATGGCCTCAGTATGCAGATTTACAAATTAATGGTATGTTATTAATTCATCCCTTTATGAAAGCTTGGTTTCTTATAAAAAAAAATTGCCCCTATATGTATCATATGATAATTACCAGTTTCGAGACCATATTTATCTATCATATTTGTAAGTTGGTAACTAAGTCAGTCTGAATTTAATTCTTGATAAAGTCATTGTTGCAGTATGCATGTATGATTGAGGATTCCTACTATGCAGTAGGACAGTTTATTAGTCCTGAGGAACAAATTTTTATGGCTTCACAGGTTTGGCTGTTCGTGCAATTAACAGGCCAGGCTCTCAACTTTTGGGGGCTAATGGTCGTGATGATGGCCCAATTGTAAGCTGTCATGCTAAATTGTATTTTTTCGTGTACTCTTGTGGAACAATTTTATTCTCTAACACCACCTATCTTTCTGACTTTTGTCATGTCAGATCACACCATTCACGAAAGATGGAATGAATAAGATAGCATTAACTGGATGTGATTCCCGTACCTTTTGTTTAGGGGTTCGAATTGTGAAACGGCGCACTGTTCAACAGGTAACCTTTTCTGGGTATCATAGCTGTTAAATGTCTGCCAAGGTTTTGGATTCTTAGGATGTCACTTTGGAGCACCTTTTATATTTTTAAGCCATATTTGTAATAAGAAGCAGTACACTTTTCTAGTGGAAATGACTTGGGGGTGGATGGTGTTGAAGGCTATGCATGTGGGGATGTGGTCACTAAGCCTGAACCTGGTGGCGGTTTAGGCATTTGAGACCATATTTATAAGAATGTCGCTCTAGGAAAGTGGTGCTAGAGATTATCTTGAGGGATAAGCTTTTTGGGCATTATATTCAAGGAGTGTTGTCAAGCATTAAGAGGTTGATTTTATGGAAATGTCAATAGCAGTGTTGGGGAAACTTGTAAAAATATCTGAACTATGAAATGTACAGTTGCTCAAGCAGGCTATAATCCATTGATTTTGATATTTATATCCATAAATATTAGTAGATATATGTATAGTTATATAATTACAAGTCATTTATTATTGAAGTATAATGTGTGTTATAGAAAGAGGGGAGGAAGGGGAGGGATAAAAATTGGTATAAATTTATGAAGTTTACATATATACATGATAAATAGGATCAATATCAATATTTTTTAGGTCAAATCTAAATAAGTATTCTTTTTACTTTTCTTTAAAAAAGAGAGAATATGGAGTAAAATTACAATGTTATTATTGTTTGTCTTTATAATCAAATAAAAAATTTGATAATAAATTTGTGAAAAAGAGAAAATTAAAATAAATACTAGAGATAGGAGGGAAAAATTTTAAAGTACCGTCCAATAAATTATAACAGAGGAAAATGTTATGCGTGTAAATTGTGAGAGGTAGATTGAAATTGGGTGCATGAAAGACAGAGAGGGAGATGGCTGGAAATATAAGTGCAGCAAGAAGGTTGGAGGCTTTTCCCACATTATAAAAATGTTGGACTTGTACTTGTTTAATCTTAAAAAAAAGTGGGACATGTTGCAAAGTGCACAAATTTGTATTATTTTACATTTCTATTTTTTACGTCTATCACAAGTATTTCCTCCATCTTTTGTTTTCTCAGAAACGTAACAAGTTGGTTGTTGTTGGTGGTTTACCTGTGTTTTTTCTTCTCCAGATTCTAAGCATGATTCCTAAGGAGTCAGATGGTGAATGTTTTCAAGATGCTCTTGCTCGTGTTTGCCGTTGCATTGGTGGTGGGAACACTGCAGATAATGCTGATGATAGTGACAGTGATTTGGAGGTTGTTGCAGACTTTTTTGGGGTTAATCTACGTTGCCCTGTAAGTCTCATGCCATGTACTGAAATTTATTAGTCTCCTATAATGCATTATGCTTCTCATTTGAGATATTTGTGAGAAAAGGGGGAGGAGAAGTGTTTCACGATCCTCTCTGGATTATGCTTGTTGTTGATTCTTTTTCCTCTTTTGAAACGGGAAACACTTTTCATTGATAAGAACCGAAGGGGGTGGAAAGCCAAACCCAAAAAGAAGATTACAAAAAACTCTTCTAGTGTGCATTAAGAGAAGTTAGACTATCATTATTAGGAGGAGCAATAGTATAAATCTGCACCAAGTAAGAACAACAAAGTTCTTTTTTATTTTTGGTAAGAATCAAAGAGAGAATATTCAGGGAAGCAAAGTCCGAAAAAGAGATCAGTCTAAAGGTAGAGGGTAGAGAAAACTCTTCCCTAGGAACTATACAATCACGGCTTTCCAATCCTGTAAAATCAAAAGAAGACCATAGTTACAAAAAAAAAAACCAGAAGATTATCCCAAGGAAAAAAGTTTTTTTTCCTAATTGTTAAATTATTCTTTTCTTCCAAGCCATGTATTCCAGAAGAAAGCTCAAATACATTGAACCACAATCCTTTTTCTCCTTGAAATGATGACCCTAAGAGAAACCAACCATTAGAAGGCTGCTGATTTCAACTGGGAGAGTGGTGTGCCAGATAATTTAACAATGATCTACTGGTTAAAACCTGTAGAGTTTATTAACCATGACCACTTATCATTTCTTTTTCTATTTCTTTTTTTTTTAATTTTAATTTTTATTCATAAGAAACAATTCATAAGAAAAAAAAGGATGGATGTAGAAAAGGAGACGATCTATCCCCAATAAGCCAAAGGATTACAAAAGGGACTTCTAATTGGCTTAAATTTGTGTCAAGCTAAAATTTGTACTCATATTTCATAATGAAATAGTTTCTTTTCCCAAAAAAAAAAAAAATTTGTGTCAGGCTAAAATTACAAAAATCTTTGTGATGCAAGCACCAGGTAGAAGAGTGCATACTTGCTAAGTCCCCAAAAATCTCCCAAGAATCTTATCATTCCTATTGATAAAGAAGTTGGAGGACATGCTTTTGAAGGAAAGTCGCTCGAGTTTTTTAGTTTGCTAAAATTTCTTGAAAATTGAAATTCCATATGAGAGGAGAGGTTCCAAGCTTTTTTAATGGTACATCCTTTTTCGCCCAGAAGAGAACATAACATTGGGAAAACATGAAGAGGGGCATTTCCCATCAAATATCATTCCAAAAGCTTGTGTATCCACCATTTTCAACTGCAAATTCAACTCTGTTAGTGTTAGCATCTTTAAGCTTAATAATGGAATGCCAAGAGCTTTTTGGAGTGATGAGCAGAGGGCCCTAACCATGAATTTCCTCCATTTGGAAATATGGAAGATCTGAAGAAAGTTGATATATCTGAGGCTACCTTCCTCATAGCTTTGATATTCGACATATTAGATAATACTGAAGTTGCAAGGTCTAAGTTGTGTGCTCAGTGTGAGCTTAAGAAGTCCCTTCGTCCTCATTATTTGAGTTAGTTGATAATTTCACAACAAGAGGATGTTACAGTGACTAACTTTGATCAGATGGTGTCACCGGTTAAATTGTGGTGTCAAACTGAAGTGAGTATAAATGCTTAGATAGTGTACTTATCAGCTTGTAATTTGTTGTATTCTAATGGGCTTTCTACTGGAAAAAAGTTTATTGGGTTTTATTTCTTTCGATAGGATTTTAGTGGGTTTTGTTGATGAAAATGCAATCATTTTTTTTTTTGATAAGAAACAGAGAAAACGGTGTAATGAGAAAGGGAGAAAACTCCCGCAAAGAGACAACCTAGAGGTAGAGGGTAGAGAAAACCCTCCCCAAGCGCTATACAATCAAAGCTTTCCAATTTTGTATAATCAAATGAAGACTAATTACAAAAAAACTTCCCGCAGGATGTAACCCACCACGAAGCAACATGCTTTATATTCACACAAAAAGAATCCACCAATGTCGAAGTGTCTTCAAAAAGAAGTGTCCTCAAAGACGATTATTCCTTTCTTTCCAAAAAATGCAATCATGCATATCCACTTTCACAGAAATATTTTGTTAGGAATATTGTGGCAAGAATTAGCTTCAATACTGTGTAATCAAGGAAAGATGGTAAAGCTAGTGTTCAAACTCAATTTTCAGCAAGAAAGTTATTGCATCTTTTGGAGAATTGCACACTCTTGTGTTGCAGAAATTATTTATTGATATTAACCTGTATTATTTCTTTGTGTGCTTCTATGCTCTAGATGAGTGGTTCAAGGATGAAGATTGCTGGACGGTTTAAACCTTGTGCTCACATGGGCTGCTTTGATCTTGAAGTGTTTGTAGAATTGAATCAACGTTCAAGGAAGGCAAGTTGCTATATTAACTTCTTATGCAAATCTTGTTCTCATATTTGACTGTTTGTATTTTTACTGCAGTGGCAGTGCCCTATCTGTCTGAAGAACTATGCGCTGGAGAATGTTATTGTAGATCCTTATTTCAACCATATTGCATCTATGGTACTTCCTTATGCATTCTTCATCTACCTTTTATCTGAAATTGATTTAATCATTTCATATTATGGTTTTACAGATGCGACATTGTGGAGAAGATGTTACAGAAATTGATGTTAAGCCTGACGGGTCCTGGCGTGTGAGGTCAAAAACTGAAAGTGAGCGCAGGGATCTTGGTGATCTTTGCCTGTGGCACTCTCCTGATGGCACTTTGTGTATTCCTAATGAGGAAGTTAAACCAAAGATGGAAGAAGCATTGAAGCAGATAAAGCAGGAAGGTGGATCAGATCGTGGCCTGAAACTTGGCATCAGGAAGAATAGTAATGGGTTTTGGGAAGTCAGCAGACCTGAAGATATCAATACTTTCACTTCTGGTAGTAGACTACCGGAGAATTATGGGAGCCATGACCAGAAGATTATCCCAATGAGCAGCAGTGCCACTGGCAGCAGAGATGGTGAAGATCCAAGTGTAAACCAGGATGGCTGTGTAAACTTTGATTTCTCTACCAATAATATTGAGATGGATTCTCTGTCCTTGCATGTTGACTCAGCGTATGCATTTACAGAACTAAATCCTATTGCTCCAGTAGGTGAAGTCATTGTTCTAAGTGATTCAGATGAAGAAAATGACATAGTAGAGGTCGGAACTGTATATCAGAGCAACCATACAGATGCAGGTGAGGTTCCTTTCTCCATGCCACCTCCTGGAATCACAGATGCATATCCTGAAGATCCAACTCTATTATCTACTGAAAATTCATGCTTGGGCCTTTTTAATGCCCATGATGATGAATTTGGAATGCCAGTTTGGCAATTACCTCCTGGAACCCAAGGAGGTGCAGGGTTCCAATTGTTTGGCACCAATGCAGATGTATCAGATGCTCTAGTTGACTTGCAGCATAATTCCATGAATTGTTCCACCATGAATGGCTATGCAGTGAACCCAGAGGCAGCTATGAGTCCCACTTCTCTCGTTCCAGGTTCTTCAATTGGTCGTACTGATGGTGACGGGAATGACAGCTTGGTTGATAATCCCTTGGCTTTTCCTGATGATCCATCTCTGCAAATATTTCTTCCTACAAGGCCTTCAGATGCACCTATGCAGTCTGATTTCAGAGATGAGGCTGATGTATCAAATGGGGTCCATACTGAAGATTGGATCTCTCTCAGGCTAGGGGGTGATGCAGGTGGTAGCAATGGGGAGTCCACAACCTCCAAGGGATTAAATTCAAGACAGCATATTTCATCAACAGGAGGCGAAATCAGTTCATTGGCTGATACAGGTTAGTTATTTTCTGTTTTCCCTCTCCTGTTGTGTTGTGAGGATTCGTTAAATTCAATGATGGTTGGCAGATCTGAGGAAGATGCATTGCTTTGAATGAATCTTTTCTAGACATGGAAATGTTTTAGCCGCAAAGTGTTCTATTTTCCATCTTGTTCCTAACTAATGCTTTGTAGTTTCACTATGTCCGTGAAAAGTTTTTTCTTTCCTTCTTTTTGCACCTTTTCCCAGTCTATAATCATTTTCTTTTGGATATTCTGTCAATTTTAATAGAGTTGATAATTTATTTATCATTCTTTGTAGTAATTAGAGATTAGAGATAGAGATCTAATAATAAGAATTTTACATCTTGAAAGATGGTAAAGCTGCAAGAGTGAGAAACTAACTAATCACATAGGCATAAGCATACCCAATGGCTACAATTATTTTATGCATTTCTTTAACCGGCCATTTTTCATGATGTCCCATATACGTCAATTATTTGCCCTATAAAACGGACAATGCCCTAATGATTTCTGAAATTATACTCTGTAGAGTACCTTTTCGCAACCCCCATTAGCTTCTGTGGAGGCTTTCCTCCCATTTCTTACATTTCATTACATCAATGAAATCATGGTTCTAAAAAAAAAACTCAGTTCCAGCTTCTCTCGTTTATGCATCTGCCTTTATTCAGAACTGCTATTTTATTATTTATTTTGAGGCTAACCATATCCTCGAATCAGCTTCTCTGCTTCTTGGAATGAATGATGTCAGACCTGAGAAAGTAAGTAGGCAAAGATCAGATAGTCCTTTCTCCTTCCCTCGCCAGAAAAGATCTGTCAGACCGCGGCTCTTCCTTTCTATAGACTCTGAGTCAGAGTAGGCTTCGGACCTTAGGTGACCAAGAATTATTGCTGCTCTCATTAGAATTTTTCTGGGGATTGACAAGACCGTACATATTCATTTTGGTCCATCTCGTCTTCGAAGTGCATGTTCTATATTTTGTGGGTGACACTCATTGTGCTCGTAAGCAAGGCATCATTGCGGAACAAAGCTAGCGAAGGGAATCTGGCCAGTCGTTTTGGAAATAGGTAAGGGATCTCTGTTCACTCTTATTATGAATGAGCCTGAGGCTGACCCCATAGTCCTAATGTGATTTGTGATGGACAGGTTGGTCGGATGACTTATGTGCCAGTGCGGGTAGAACTGTACAGAGAGATGTGGTCACTTGAATTGGGTAGCCGTCCGTCATGTAATACAACAAAATTTTCCTCTACCATGAGAGCAAATAGCTGTAAATATCTTTGATTGAGATTTAGTTTATTTATAGAAATTAATTTTACACCACAAAGAAAGTTTCATGTTTAATTGGCCTAACCTTTCCAGATGTGTTTTGGTAAATTAATCAGTGGTTGCAACATTTTCAGTACCCACAACTTCAAATACATTCATCATGGCCTATATAACTCATTTAGGGATTTCACTGTATAGCTAGTTTTTAGACTTGTTTCCTTGAAAAAGTTGAGTCCATTTTTACCATTTTCACCCCACGTTATGAGTCAATATGATTATATTGAAAAGCTAGATGATTAATAACCACATTTACAGTATGGTAGTACTTGTAAATATTTATTGTTGGTAGCAGACACTGTAAATGATTCGACTCAATCGACCGCACACTGTGGTAGGAAGTTTTGGCATGGGCTCTTTTAATAACTTAACTAAAAGAATATGAAAACAAGATAATTGATACCAAGTTCCTACAAAACTGCATGAAATAGTAGACAACTTTGGGTACAGTCTAAGTAAAGCTTACTATTGGAAATTTGTCACCCAGCAGCTTGGGGAGGGTGGAGCTTTTTCCTTCTGTCTCAATGAATGTTAAGCCAATCCCAACAATGGCATCAAGTGAAAAAGTCGCATGCACGGGCTTTGCATCTCTATGAAGTCGGTCTGAGGAGCTGTCGAAACTCGAAAGACAACCTCAACATAACCAATGTGATCATCATCATTGCAAGTCATGCATAAAACTAAACACAGCTGGTACGAAGCAGCTCATAACTGCATTTTTACCCAAATGAACAGATCATCATCATGATCAATGAATATTGTGTTTGGATTTTGGAAGGTCATGCGGTTGTATCCAACTGGACGTTTATTCATTGGAAGCCGCTGATTTGGGACGCCTGAAACTTTCACAGCCAGGGCAATTGTGCAAGCTCTCGTGAATATAAATATCACAATCAAGACAGAAGTGTTGTTTGCACTTTGGGCAAGAAACACGAATGCCTTGGCTGTTACCTGTGCCTAAAACGAAAAAGAAAGAGAACGTGCATTTGAATGAGTATGCAATGCAATATATATATATATACATACATATGTTTTGAGTTCAACATGTCGACCTTTTGATCGCTGATATATGCTTTAACCAATTGAGTTATACTCAAGTTGACAATAAGTATTGAGAATGCAAGGTGAAAGTTGGATGCATCAGCAAACTACATATGAAGGAAGAAATCATGCATTTTTTTACCGTTGCCAAAACTTCAAATAAAATTTATACTTGCATCTCGCAGGCATAAGTTCCAGATGCTTCTATGCCTTAAACATTATCACATATGAAAAGTAATAAACACAGAAAAAAGATCATTTGCAAAGCTAACAACTTAACTCCCCGTGCCTGTTTACACAGATTGCAGTACTGGTGCTGAGCTTAATTACTACAAATGTTGCAAGTGAATGACAAAGGAAACTAAACTAGGAGTTTGTCTCTTGAGCTGTAATTGAGAAGAGAGCCTTTAGCAATAAGCTGAAATCAGGAAGATTGCCCATTGAAGGATGTCCAAAACAAGAATAGTTAACTAGGAAATTTCTCATACATAACGTTCCTTGGTTTAGGAATCAAAGATCACAGGGCATTACTTTTACTTTGCTCAAGCTTTATGGAGTTGCTTTGCTTTGGCTTTTGAAATCTTGTGGGTGCATAATAGGAATTGTTGTTTTACGACAGAGGAGGTTCTCCATTTTCCTCCTTTTTGTGATAACGGGAGAGTATTTGGCAGACTTGTTATTTTGTCATCTTGTGGGGTTTATGACTTGAGAAGAATGGTAGAATTTTTAAAGGGGTGGAGAAGTCTGGGGAAGAGGTGTGGGAAGTTGTTAGATTTAATAAATGTTAATAGGCCTCAATTACTAAACCTTTTTGTAATCAATTTTCTAGGTTTTATTACTTGGGATTCAAGTCCGTTTGAAGTTTGTACTCCTGGGCTGGTTTTTTGTATGCCTTATTGTTTCTTTCATATTTCTCACTGAAAGCTTTGTTTCCCATTAAAAAAAAAAAAGAGTCAAATCAAGTAAATTAAGGATAGCATCTAATTAAAAAATATTCAATCTAATAGATGGAAAGCATATATTAAAAAATAGAAGGTCTTCTTGAAAACTGTCTCTATGTCACCAGCAATTGGTTATGCATTTACTCAACATTTCATAAAAATTTCTACTTAATTCAGATGACACAAAATGTTCTCTCCTTCAACTGAGCAGTAATCTAATTTCCACTTCACTGAATATTACGACATCTATGACACAAGATGTTCTCCTTCTCAACATGCATATTATATCATTGGAAGACAATAATTGCCATAAAAATAAAATTTCAATTGAAAGCTTACAAATATCATGTTTATTTGATTTCTTACCAGAGTTCATCAGGCTTTCTTGGCAGCCAAAGCAAACTTTTGGTAGTCGATGTCGTGGATCGTTAAGTACTTTGTCAGAGACCTCATCAAATGGTATAATTGGAAAGAGATGATGATATGACCGAGCCAAATGGGGCGAGGAGATCAGTGTCAATCCACAAATTCGACACTCAGTCGGCAGCTCACAAACTCGTGCTTTGCATCGAGGACAAGTGTAGCCCCCTCCAACTTTAGCTTCCTTGTGACAGGAACAAATTGCAATGGAACTCTCTGCAGCTCTTTGTGGAAAGCCCATCTTGATCAAATTAGGCATTGCAGAGTCTGCTATTGCTGGGGGTGGCGGAGCATGCTCCAATAGCAACTCTTTGAAGTGGGACTGTACACAAAAGGCAAGCATGTCACTAAGATTTGGGAAAGCAAACTTCCAAATATAAAAGCTACAAATGGAATCTTGCTATAGTAATTTCACTTTGTTTTGAACTTCTGTTTCATAACTGTGTTTACCAATAAGCTTCCTAAGCTAAGGTTGGTTCTATTAGCTGGTCAACTGCTAAAAAACTAGCCATTTCTATTTATCACTGGGAAATCCACACATTCGATTCAACTCACCTCATCCAGTGCGATAGAGTATGAACCACCAGTTTCCTGGCAGAGATGTCTGCATATAAAAATTTCCGCAGTAAGACCAATTACTGAACACCTTATTTTAGATGTTTTGCATTTCTGAATAGTCTCCATTATATCCCCAGGATCACAGGAATTAAGAGCAGAATATAAGATTAAGACTTCTCTGTGACCATATGATGGAATTTGATTCAGATAGCCGCAAACAAGATCCAGACCATTCTGCAGGGATGCTTCACCAGAGCATTCCAATTTGCCCATTAAAGCTTTAACATGGGACTCAGGACTGCCACCAAGATCCGTGAGGCAATGAGCAACTCCATCTTTTATTGTCACCAAACCAATCTGACTGAGTGGATTCTGGTCAAAGAATTCCCTCACAAATGCCTCTACATGTTTCGCCACCACTGCCATTCGACTTGGTCGAAAATCCATTTCTGCTGCTGCCTGCACATGGTGGGATAAACAGAATAAGAGAAACAGAAAAGGAAAACCTTCATTCCATTAACATCCATTAGAATCTCACTCTCTCCACAGTCCCTATATCCTCTAAAGCCTTAACATAACTCAGGGTAGCATATACATATATAAATATATATATATATAATTTTTTTTTTGGGATAAGAAACGCTTTCATTGAACACAAGAACCAAACAAAACAGGGACGGGACGAGAAGGCCCCTTCCCAAAAACCCAAAACTAAAAGAGAATAGCTCTTCAACCTTGCATAATCAAGGAGAGGCTATAATTACAAAAGAATTTCCTGTTTCTACGGCACCACCACCACCGAGAAGCCGAGCCACTATTACAAAAAGAATCAAAAGACTTAGTTTTATCTTTCACTCACTGCATAGTAGACAGATTGAATGCACTGAACATCCTCAATGGAACAACTGTGGAGATACTTCACCATACCTTTTGAAACATACTGCAAACTAATTTACTAATCAAGTTTGATGATATGCCATGAAAAGTATTTCAGCAGAGATACAATGAGATTACAACAAACCCCTTTTGTTAAGAACATGAGTAGAAGCCAAGGAACGGAACTTAATGAATCAAATAGAATACCCTGGAGAAGTCAATGACGATATAGAGATAGCGGATAAGACCCTTCTGAATTCGAGCAGTGGTAGCAATGGAAGAGAGGGAGCGGAGACGCCTTCGATACTGGGCATGGTAAATGGCCTTATTATCGATGGGGCGGAGGAGGCCAGACTCGTCCTCTTGCAGGGCTTCCCACGACCTATCATCCGCATAAGTCCTCTCCCACGCAGCGAGTCCGCCATTGCCGTCGTCGTCATCGTCTTCTTCATCGGCTTCCCCATTCAATCGACTACCTTCGCCATTGTTCATGTTTTTTTCCGGCGGATGAGGGGCTTTCCCAGAATCTATGCTCGAGGGTTTTGAAAGTAGATCAAATTGATCGACCCCAGTTGAGGGAGTAACAGTTTTCAGTTGGGTTTATTTGGTTTGGCTTGGATTGGGATTTGGGATTTGAGAGTAAAGAGAAGAGAAGTGAGATCGGTGGTAGTTGGTTCGCCGCCGCTGCCGGCTGCCGACTGCAGATGGAGGGCTTAGGAAAAAAATTGGTCTTGATTCGGCGTTGATTGTTGTAATGTAATAATGCAAGAACACCCTCTTTTGACTTGAGTGATTTCAAATAGTGTGTTTTAGTATCAAATTTTTTCTACCAAAATGATCGGATTTTAGGGAAATTGGGATTTTTGACCCCTTCCAATAATCACTTTTGACTTTTAACTCCATTTTGATTTTTACCTATTTATGACCCCTCCACCTCAGATTTCTAACCCCTCCCCTTATTTTGCTTTGTAAAATTACCAAGTTACCCTCAATTTAAAAAAAGAAATCAAACCCAGCCCTCCCCTCCTTTCCCTCCCTGTCTCGGTCCTTCCCCTCCCTCATTCACTATCTCGTTGTCCATCCCAGTCTTCATCCCGRTCTCTCCCTCACAAYCAGAAAGTTCATCTCCGTCGTTTCTTCTTCGTYTCCYTCACTTCGTCTCTATCARAGCTTTCCCYCTTCCCTAATTGAGGTAWTTTTTCTTTCGAACTYGCGATCTTATTGTGAATGATTTTCTACCTTTTTTTTTCTTCGTTCTTTGCGTGGGTGTGAATGATTTCAACCTTCGGCTCTATCTGAAGTAGCCAAGGTTATTATGAAGTTTGATTTATTGTTGCTTCCATTGTTTTGTTTTAATTTTTGACTTTCAGGGTTCCATC